GCAAAAGACTTCAGCATTCAGGACTGTGGCTTGTAACACATCAACAGGATAGTAGTTCTGTTGAGAGCCTATGACGTGTGTGTGTGAGTGACGACATGTGAGTATGTCCATGAGAAGCTGTGGGGTGCACGGGAGGTACCCAACGGCCACGAGGCCTCGGTGGGGCGAAGCAGCCCCTCGCAGCCGTGCGCTGCACGCGATACGCAGTAGGTGCCCGGGACCAGTGAGCTGCTGATCCGGATTCCGTCTTTCCCAGGCACTCCTGTTCCCCAAGGCCTCACCCGGAGGCACCTGTACATTCTCATCGGGGTCTCTGCGGCCTTTCTCCTTTGTCTCTTCCTCCTGGTCCTCTGCTTCCTCCATCATCTGTGTCAGAGAAAACGCGGTAGGTTCCAAGGAGTAGGATGGGTGGCCTGGGCAGGTGGTTGGAACGTGCTGAGGAAAACAGCTCCCTCCTGAACTCAGAGCCTTGCTTGCCTTCAGGAATCCCCAGCAGCAAGAGCAAGAATCAGCAGCCGCGGGAGAGGTGAGGCCGCGGGAGAGGTGAGGTGGGAAGAGCCCTGAATCCCCACCGACCCTTGGCTTCCTGCCCACTCCTCATGCTCACTTATCCTTTGCCCTCCGTTTCAGCCCAGGGGTTGCTATTCTGAAGAGCACACCAGGTAAGGGGGTGAGGAGGAGGGGGAGACCTGGCAGAGGGGAAGTGGGGCATCAGGGAGACTCAGAAGCAATAAGGGGAGGAGAGAACGTTTGGGAACATTCTAGAACGTTCTAGTTGGACATTTCAGGATGAAAGCTAAAGCTGTGAGATGTCAGGGAAATTTCCCTTGCAAGGTCCACCCCAGAGTAACCACCACCTGTCCTCTGTTCCGCAGATACGGTCACAGTGGCAGGGCTTCCTGAGGATGACGGACAGACGGACCCCTCGGTAAGGCTCTCTGCTTGCTATCTGCTGGACGCGTTACCACGTCTCCCAGGTCGGGCAGCTGAACATAGCAGTGCCAGTTTCCTGGGTCTGGTGATCGACGGCAGCTGAGTTCTGTGATTCTGAGTCATGGTCTGCCGTGAGGTTGACGTTGTGATGTTGACCGGGGCTGCACTCACGTGAAGCCTTGGCTGGGGCAAAGCGTACATTTCCAAGATGGCCGCATCCATGGCTCCTGGTGCGAGGTCTCAGGTCCTCACCACGTTGCCTCTCAGTGGCAGCCAACTGCCCCCAGGGCGAGGAATCCAAGGGAGGGTGGGGCAAAAGCCACAGAGCCTTGCCTGTTCTCACCTTGCAAGGGAGACGCCATCACTTCTCCCAAGTTGTGGTGGTCACACAGCAGTTGGCTGTAGCTGCCATTGAGTCAGTCCTGCCTCCTAGTGACCCCGTGGACAACAGGTGTGGACCACTGAGCCCCACAAGGCTCTCACTGGCTGGGTTTGGGAAGCAGATCTGCCCCCGTCTGTGTTAGAACCTGTTCAGTATCATAGCAACACACAAGCCTCCACGGACTGATGGGTGGAGGCGGCCACGTGCCTCGGCCAGGAATTGAACCCAGGTCTCCTGTGAGGAGCCCTGGTGGCACAGCGGTTTAGCGCTCAACTGCTAACCAAAAGGTCAGCGGTCCAAAACTACCAGCCACTCTGTGGGAGAAAGATGTGACGGTCTGCTTCCCTACAGATTTGGAGCCTTGAGCTCGTGACTCAGAATGGACTCCAGGGCAGTGGGTGAGTCAGAATGGACGGACTGCAGGGCAGTGAGTTTGGTTGGGGCTTGGCCCTGGAAGCCCTATTCAACGGTCCTATGCTGCCCTCTAGTGGCTACGGCTCAGAATGCAACAGCAGTGGCTTCTTCACAGGTCTGTGTGGTAGGTAAGAACCCTGCCGAACCATCACTACCACTTGGTCACACAGAGCAGTCCTCGTGGCAGGTGGCAGACACTGCCCAGTGGCATCATCACTGGGGGCTATCTTGGAAACTGCACAGCCATGTCTCCTTCCGAGAGCCCCTCACCCTCAGCCACCTTGACTCCCTCTGGTCTCTCTCCAGGAGGTGACGTATGCTCAGCTGAACCACCAGGCTCTCACTCAGGGGGCAGCCCGAGCCGTGTCCCCTCGGCCCCTGGAGCCCGCAGCGGAGTCCAGCACCTACGCATCGCTCACCACACGCTGACCCCAGAGCCCACCTGGCTGATGTGCCCAGGGACCAGGAGCTCACTGTGGGAAGGGGACGGAGCAGGCACTGGGAGGGTTTTCCCAGTGGTGTCATCTCTGCTCTGGACAGTGAGCCAGACAGCTCCCTGGGAGACAAGAGCTGGGCTCTGGAGGTCCCTGACCAACGCCTAAGAGAGTCAGGAACCAGAACTCTTCCACCATTGACCAGCTTCTTGGAGAGACTGTGTTTCAGCTGTTTCAGAAACCCCACTACAGTCGCCGGTTTCCAGAGACCCATCTACAGTCATCTAACTGTTTCCAGAGACCCATCTACAGCCACTCAGCTGTTTCCAGAGATCCAGCCACAGCCACCCAGCTGTTTCCAGAGATCCAGCCACAGCCACCCAGCTGTTTCCAGGGACCCAGCCACAGCCACCCAGCTGTTTCCAGGGACCCAGGCACAGTGACCCAGCTGTTTCTAGATACCCAGCCACAGCCACCCAGCTGTTTCCAGGGACCCAGCCACAGCCACCCAGCTGTTTCCAGGGACCCAGCCACAGCCACCCAGCTGTTTCCAGGGACCCAGCCAGAGCCACCCAGCTGTTTCCAGGGACCCCGTCTACAGTCCCCAGCTGTTTCCAGGGACCCATCTACAGTCCCCAGCTGTTTCCAGGGACCCAGCTACAGTCCCCAGCTGTTTCTGGAGATTCCACTCTGTTTACCCCGATGATCCCACAGACTCTGCTACAGTCACCGAGGCGACGTCATACAGCAGGCTGCTCCACAGGCCTCTCTGTGGATCCCCCAACGCCCCCAGAGACTCACTGTCATTGTTTATTCACTGCCTCTGGCCCTTCCGAGAGCTCGTTGCTGACGTTGCCTGTCGACTGACCGTCGTGCTTACCCAGCTGAGACCCAGATCCCCGCCCTGCACTTCACCCTGCTCACCAATAAATGTCTTCGGAGGCCTGACCCCGGCAGCCCTGTGCGTGGCGCTGGGTGCACAGGTCCCTGGGTCCCCGTCTCTGTGTCCGCAGCTGCTCAAAACCCAGTGAGGGCAATGAGTGGCAAAGGAGGCCTTCATGTTTGCGGCCTGAGCGTGTGGCGCGTGGCATGTGGCGTGTGTTAGGAGTGAACGAGGGAGGGGCCTGCGGGGGTCTGTGGGCAGGTGAAGGCAGAGACCCGGTTCCACCTGCTATAGCCCCCAGCTCCTCCACACACGTGCACACACTCCAGGCCACACATGCATGCACACATGCCCACATACACACACTTGAACATGCGTGGGCATGCACACACATGCACAGACCATCCCCACTCCTTCCAGCTGATCCCACATCCAGATGGGTTGGAACCCACTAAGCTTAGACGACTGGGACTCAATGCGACCAGACAGCAGGGCCGGACCCTGGGTCAGCGACTCCGGAAGGACACTGGCTGCAGGCAGGGCGGACGCGTCCTGGATTTGAGTGCTTGGATGGCTCCCGGCTCTGCCTTCTCCTCGACATAGGACCCCAGGCTTGCGTCTTCGTCTCTGAGTTCACGTCCTTCCATATAAGACAGGAAGTGTGCACCGAAGTTCCAGCAACCCCCTGGGTTTCCGGAGGGAGGGAGCTTCTCAGCGGCTCTGTGATCTGCGGTGACGGTGGTGTGAGTGGGCGGCCCCCAGTGTCGGCAGAGAAGGGCGGGCTGAGACGCCCTTTGCAAGGCTTCTGGGAATTCTTGGGTGGTGCACAGCCTAAATGCTCAACTACCAGCTGAAAGGCCGGTGGTTCCAACCCACCCAGAGCCACCAGGAGACAGGCCTCGTGATCCATTTACAAAAAGTCACAGCCTTGAAAACCCAATGGAGCAATTCTACTCTGCACACGTGGGGCACCGTGGGTTGGAATTAATTCGACAGCAACCAACAAGGACCCCCTCAAGTCTTGTGCTCCAAGCCCTCAACAGGGCCCCGAGCTAATGGATCAGTCCGGGAAGTCCACCTGGCTCCCAAGGCCTCTTTCACCGGGCCGGCACAGCGACTCCAGCCTCATCCCACGCCCTCCTTGTTGGACACTCAGGCTGTCCCTCCCCCAGGGTCCTCAGTGGGCTCCACGTTTCCCACACTCACTGAATCTCTCACACACTCACCACTGAATATGCTCTGCCTCCAACTCCCCCGGGTCCCCACCTTAGTGTACGTATGACCTCTCAGCCAGGAGGCCGGTCAGCATTCCCAAAGTCTCCTTCTGGTCGGGCCTGTGGTCAGTGTGTGGCATGTGGGGAAGAAGGTGCCATGGCCTTGCTCCCAGAAGCTCACAGCCCCAAGGAGTGCACATGAGGAACGTGGACGGGGACATGGTGACTAGGGCACACAGGGATCCTGAGCTGGACACATGAGGAGGAACAGCACGACTGGAGAGTGTTTGGCATGTGTGTGTGCACAGAAAAGAGACTACGGGCTACAGTGGAGGTGTCTTAATCTGAGTTCTCTAAAGAGGCAAAACCAGTGATGTGTATACAGGTACACTTCAAGGAATGGTTCACAAAATGTCCCAGGTCCTGGGTCAAGCAGCCGGTTCATGGGGCTGTGGACGCAGGTTAGAGGAACCCAAACTCTGCAGGTTCAGACAACAGGCTGAAGGCTTCGCCATATCCCAAGGTCAAGTGGCAAGAAAGGTGGATAGGACTGAGAGAGACGGAGAGCGTTGCCAGAACATCTGTTTATATAATGGATGCAAGCCACGACCCCAAGGAAACTCTTCTTCCAAATGAGTGGCTGTTCACATCCAATTTGTGAATTGCAAAACAGGAGGTGATGACATAGTATCTGCCAAACCACTGAGAGCTGTAGCCGACCAAGTGGACACAACGTTCACCATCCCCGAAGCGGGCAAGGAAGTGAGACAGCTCTCCCGGGGAGTCTCTGTGGACCACGGTGAGGGCTTGAGCTCCACTCAGCACGAGAGAGGAGCCTGGCCCCACCTTCTCCCTTCTCCAGGCTCACCCGCACTGAGCCCCCTGCAAGTCTCCAAACACAGCACACATCCACCGGCTCTGGGACGCTCACCTTGCTCTTCCCTGTTCTTCTCACCTGGCTGATGCCCTGCAAGTTAGAAAAGAGGTGTCGTCCTTCCCAACAACCTTCAGTGACTCCTGTGTCCAATACCACATCTCCTTCCCTCTGTCTTTTAGACCAACTCATTGTGGTCAAGTTCATTCCGACCCACAGCGCCCCTAGAGGACAGAGTGGAACTGCCCACAGGGTCTCCAAGGCTGTCAGTCTTTATGGGAGCAAAACCCAAACCACACCCACTGCCCTGGAGTCCATTCCGACCCACAGCGCCCCTAGAGGACAGAGTGGAACTGCCCCCATAGGGTTTCCAAGACTGTAAATCTTTACAGAAGCAAACTACGTCATCTTTTTCCCACAGGGTGGCTGGTGGGCCTGAACTGCCAACCTTTTGGTTAACAGCCCAATGCTTTCACCACTCCACCGCGAGAGCTCTGCCATCTTTCAAACACTCAGAGGAAACACAAAATTACTGTGCCAACCACTAGTGGGTGAGAGACTCTCTTGTTTGGATTAACTTTTGGTGTGTGTACTGAAAAATAAAAATAAAAATAAGGAAACTGCATGTGCTTTACAGGTCCAGTACTAAATAAAATGTTATTATATATTAGAAAAATAATAGTTTTAAAAATTAAACAAAAACATAAACCAACAACAACAACAACAAACCATTACCTTTGAGTCAATTCTGACTCACAGTGACCCTTCAAGGCCGAGTACAGCTGCCCCACAGATTCCCAGGCTGTGATGTCTATAGTAACTGACTGCCATATCTTTGCCCCATGGAGTGACTAGTGGGTTCAAACTTCTGACTTTTTGGTTAGCAGTCAAGTGGTCAGCCACTGCACCACCAGGCTCCTTCAAATAAAAACAGAGACAGTGTTTACTACGGAGGGATTGCTGTTCTTGTTCCAGGCAAATACCAACCCGTTCCGTTCTCATTCCAGCTGCCTGCTGTCGTTGTTGTTGTTATGAGCCGTTGAGTCGGACCCGACTCATAGCGACCCCTCCTTGGGTTTCCGAGGCAGTATCACTATGGAAGTCGATTGCCCCATCTTCCTCCCGAGGAGTGGCTGGTGGGTTTGAACCGCCAGTCTTGTGGTTAGCAGTCAAGTGTCTTAGGCACTGCATCCGTTTACTGTAATCGATGAAACTGGGAGAGTGAAACATTAAGTAACTTGCCCAAGGTCAAGCAGCTGCTCGGTGCTGAGGCTCCAGGCCACAGAGGGCGCCAGACTCCACGTCTGAACCCAGGAAGGCTTCCTCCCACTTGGCTGGGTGTTTCTGTCCTGGTGCAAAGAGGGTGAGGGGTGGCCATTCACTGAAGTGATCACACACTGAACTGAGTTTTCATTTGCCATTTGTTCTCAAGTTTATTTGCTCCAGAAATTTGCTCCCCAACCTTACTGTCTTCATCTTGGGCTTTGTCCGTTAGAGGCAGCACTCGGTGTCTCTGTTTTAGTGCGGTGCACTCTCTCTCCCACACAGACACACACAGTTATATTTCATCTGCTGGCATCTGTACTGTCCCTTGTATCTTTGTTTGAATCTTACCCCAAGGAGAGGAGGTGGGGTGACTGGACTCTCGCAAGCACTACAGCTGAAAGCTTACTGTTCGTAGAGAACGTTTAGTGAAGCATTTTGCCCCCCTTCAGAGCATTGGCTGGCTCTGGTCGTAGTGTCCGCTCCTGTAGAGAAAAGACTGCTTCTGCCCGACCATCCCAACAGCCAGGCTCAAGTGGAGGTGGGGAGAACGAAAACTGACAATTGTTTTGCTCCCCTTGACCTACAGCTGGCCACAGGTGTGGATCTCTAGCGTGTTGTAGGTGTGGGAACCTCGGGATGGGGACCAATCAAATACAAGAAAGGCCAGAAGGGTCACCTGGTTGGAAGGGAACACGATGGGGACTTGTCTAGAACATGATATAGAGGAAGACTACTACCTGGGTGTGAGTTAGTGTCGA